GTAAAACTTCAAGGCGTCTAAAATGGCAATGAGTAGGTCAGTGAGGTCCTTATTCATAACAACTAAACTCATTCTATAGCAGATGCCTACACTTAGTCAAATCATTCAACATCCAATTGCACTGACTATTTTAATTGTGTTTTTGTTGTTGTTGCAGGAGCCTGCACACCCAGGGGAGATGCTGGAGGTCAGATGGGCCGAATCAAGGAAGCAGAGAGGGAAAGCAGCCTTCTCCAGCATCTTTTTTCCTGCAGAATTCCAAAATAATTTATGCTGTTACCAGTTGCTCTGCAGGAGCTACCTATTACTTTGTGTTAGTAAAACATTCTTTTCAGTGGAGCTGTCCTTTATGTATTTTATCAATTAAAACTACTATCAATCTCTCCGTATTGGACAGGAAACATTTAACAGCTGTCAGGATTGCCACATAGGTAAGTTGTTAGTAACACTATGAGCAAGAAAGTAATCAATTCAGAAAGTAATCAGTACACAGCTCCAATTACTTTTCTCCTCTAAAATCTAATGAAAGAAACTCCCATCTGTCAAAAGAAAAGCACAAAACAGGCTGGGGTAAAAATGTTATTTTCAAAGAAGCAAAGAGGGAGTCAAAGGGAAAAGAAAAAAAGAAAAATATATATAAAAAAATCCTGTTTTCTCTTGGCATGACCTACATATTTGGATTGTATTTGCTCTCACTGCAATCAGTGAGGAGTAGCAATTTCCTAGACAATACAGCTCTGAATTCTCAAGCTGTTGCTACGTTACTGGGCTATGCCAAGGCATAGTCCTTGCTGGAGCCCAAAGCTGAAGGTGGCACCTGCTCCTTGACTCATGCMGCCTTTCCAGAGGCAGGAAAAGTGCCTGAACAAGGCGCATATTGAGCAGAGGTCAGGAGCACCACCACCTTTTACCCTTTGTATCCAACCGATTAAGCAAACTGMTAAGCCCTGCTGCTAAAACACACATTCTGCTCAGGGCTGATAGTCTGGGAAGTGGGAAGCGCRTGTTATCTGTGGCATTGCCATTTGCTAATCTTTTCAACCACACACGCACGCAGAAAAATTCAGATGAGTGTAAATCAAGCTATGAAGAGACTTAACAACCCCATTTTCTTCCTCAGACACAGGAGTTACAGAGCTACTAAGCTTCRATGTTAAGACCTAGAAGATTACCAGTCTCTTACTCATGGTGGACTCTATAAAGGAGCAATAAAGTTGTATTACATACATAGCACAGTGCAGATTTATTACAGATGGGCCTCTATTTTCTGAGTTAGTAGAGAAGGTCTTGCTAAGAGTATCCTTTACACTGGATTTCCACCACTGTAATTCTCTGTCTTCAACAGTGCTCTGTTTTTGATGACAAATGATCAGARTCAGATCATATCACTAAGAGATACTCAGTGTTCTTAACTGTACATGCAAACTGTGCAACAACAGTATTGCATTACAGCTGCTTGCACACAAGGCAAATAATCATTTCAGGGAATGGTCTAGATCATTACTGAAACATTTGACACATTTACTGAGAAAACATTGGGATTAAAAGACGAACATTGTAATTCTAAACAAAACTACTAAAGGATGAAGAAATATGCCAAAACAATGAGTTGTAACTAGGGAGCTGGGCAGATAATCAATAGGAAAAGGCAATTTTATAATATTTTTTACTGCCATTGGTAAATATGCTGCCTGTATTTGTAAATCACTTTATCTCCAGTTTATATGTTTCATAAATTAACTGGAGAGAGAGAATTCATAAATTAACTGGAGAGAGAATTCATAAATTAACTGGAGTCAATCTTCCCTCCCCAGACAACTGAAAGCCTAGAAATTGTAACTTTAAGTTCAAAAGGCTGAAGGAACCGAATTTGTTTAGCCTAGAAAAGCAAAGACTGAAGGGAAATTCAGCTTGCAGAACAAACATGCTACTAAAAAAAAGACAATAAAACAGAAGTGAAAAAGTTGGACATCTGGGCAAGAGTTGGAGTTAGGTCAAGGTGCCCTGTGCACTAACATAGCTGTGCATTGGTCATATTTCTGTACAGTTTCAAAGGCTTTTGTTTGAAGAAAGTACAGTGTAAATGGGCATTAAGRTGCCTGTAACAAGTCTGGACAAGCTGGATTCACACAAATGTTTCCATGTTGGTGCCTGCTCTATTCTGCACCTAAAGGTACAGTGAATTCTTTGTTAAATAGCCAAAATTCTTTAGGTACCTCCAGAAATAGTCCACTGAGGATGACCTAACTACAGAGCACTGAGATGCAGTGAAAGATAAGTCTCCATGATTTAGATATTTTCTTGGTGCCTAATAACAAAGAATGAGCTGCATAAAAGTTCATTGAGTTTGAGTGAAACTGTGGTCCTAAGGCCGTAGCACTTACAAGTATTACCAGAGTAGCAGAGTTCAATTTCTCTTCTGGGCAATGTGTTGTAACYAGACAACTACGCTGTACATTAGCTGCCATTTTCACTTCCCACTTCCTTCTGCCTTCCAGCCAGCAGCCATCTCGACATCTCTGTCAGACACTATTACTTCCAGCTATGCAGAGAGACTTAGTAGTACTAAAACCAAAGGAAGGTGTAGGCAGTGGTAGAGATGTCAACATGACCACTGTGCACAACAGAAGGTCCTGCTGTCATTGTTCATGTCTGCCAAAGAGGTCAAATCCAACAGAGGATGGTCACAGCTTCGAACTAGTCCTCCAAGAAACATGACACTACCTCAGAGGAACAAGTACAGCCAGAAAGCAGGCATGGGAATGAGGAACAGGCAGGGAAATCCAAAGACAAGATCCAAAGAAAAGAAAGGAATGCAGTCACAAAGAAGTCTCCTTTTATTTCACAATTCTTGTTATATATTACTCTAATACCTTCTGTTTTATAGGCTGACTTTTGCTCTCTGTAGATAATTAAAGATAGCAAATCTGTCTCTGCTCTCTATGGCGTTAATGCTTTATTGCAGTAGGAATGAAATAAAAAGTAAACATACTAAAATAAGAGCCCAGAAATCTCTTCAAAAATAAAACAGCCATAAAGATTGAGTTCAGTCACCCATATAGAAGCATCTGGATGTGAGCAAGTCCTTGCCTAGCCCACCTGGTTTCCAGCTCCGGCTGGAAGAAGATCAGGGTCTGGATCATGTGAAAAGCTCATGTCTCATCCCCTAGCCAGGCAGGGACATCTTGGATCTTAACTGCAAATGGGACTAAACATGAATAGAGTCCAAAGTATTCGGTCCTCTCTTGACTAGCTGATAAGCTTCTCTGTCAGACACTCAGCTTCTTCTGCACAGCAAAAGCAAGGAAAATAACTTCCTCAGCCTTTTTTACAGGCAAAGTCTTTTCAAGCTGCTGCTCTCCTCACTTTCCAGAAGTGTAAATTAACTACAACATCTCTGGCTGAACAAATCTTTCATGCACAGAAAGAGAGAACACGATTATCTTGAAACAAAAGGAAGGTAAAGAAAGAGGAATAAATATGATTAATAGGAACATGCAATGGTTTCAAAGACAAAGTACAACCTTTGAGTAACTAATGCTATGAAGCTGCCAGCAAACAATGCTTATTCAACTTCAGCAACTTTTAACTGTAGTCCAGTTCTCCAGAAATCAGAAGCAAAATCCCTCTGTGGTAACAAGTGTGGACTCAGAATGATTCATTACCCGGCAACTAGTAAATACTCTCTTGAAGGATACCCACCTTTTAGAAGATTTGCAGTATTTACATAAAAATTAAGATAAACAAGTTAAGTTTTATGATTTGCATATGCAGAGTAAGGCTAAATGATCTAACTTGTGGGGTTTTTTTAATCAGTAATCTAAATGTAAATATATTTGTGCAAAAATTACCATACAATGACAAAGTATTATCACAGAAAAAGAAGGGAAAACTGAAGGAGGAATATCATTAATTTTTCATGTACAGGAAATATTCAAAACATAACTTTGATAATGTATTGAAAAGAATTTCAAGATTTTGTTGCTACTTCTACAAGTGGTCTTTTTTTATCCCAAAAGTAAATGTGGATAGTGGAGTGGAATAAATAAACATTTTTACTTAACTCAGTTTTCCAAGCTACATAATTTATAACAGAAACTAAATGAAGTTAGAAGAGTCCATCAACCATTTTATCTGACTTAAGTCATACAAGATAATCAGCATCTGTGCAAAGATTGTAGCGTCATGTTGCTCAAAAAAACTTATTTTCATAATGCAGATCTTGCTGAACACACTTCCTACTACATGTTTTAAGAAAACCTCTTATTCTGCCTTCAAAACATCTATGGAATTGAGGAGCAGGTTCTGATAATCTTATTTGTGTTGARAAGTGGCAGACTGCACAACACCTCTGCTGAGATTAGACTACTTACAGTGCAAGGTCCTACTTGAGAGAGATAAAAACTTGAAAAATGTTCTTACGTAATTAAAAAGGAGGAACTGTCAAGTTCATCTTACATCTTTATAAATACTGAGAATGGTTGAATACAAGAACTTTTATGAAGGGAAGCGTAATGTTTATTTAAGAATACAGGTGTTTTATGGTTTAAGAACTTAACCTCTCCAACGTCTTGAGTTAGTGTGAAGCACTTTCTCATATATTTAAGTATATCTTACTTGAACTAGAAGGTAAGTGAAACAGAAAGATACTTAAAACCAGCTGTAATTAAACCASTTCAGTTAGCAGAAGTAGTCTATCTGTAGCAGTAAGGTGATTTTACAAAATAAGTGAGGTGCAGTAACAAATAGAATACTTGCAGTGTGCTTCCAGCTTCCAGTTGGATTAAAAATAATTCTCAGGCATTTCCACACCACGCAGCCTTTTCCCTCCGTGCCATAAGGTGCACAAGGATTAAGTGATGAGTTTAGTCTACTGCAGTGTGCAGGCAGCAGAGATGGGAACAAAGCTTCTTGGTAGCTCTATTTTACAAGTCTGGAGGTCACACTGATTGACATGGGGTTTAAAATTAGTGTATAGATAGAAGCACACAAGCTCTTACCTTTACAAACATGTGTATCTCATAGTCCTCCTGAAAGTTGTCTGTTTCTCCCAGATTATTGTTCAGGGGGAACTTGATGGAAGCTGCAGAGTTGGAAGAAGTGCTTTGGCTCCGACGCAACTGGAAACTTGTAGGCAAAAGCATGCTGTTCTCAAACATCCTCTCCCTTACGTGTTTATCTTCCTGACTTGGGCTCATCAGATCCATCTCCTCCTGGTATTGATAGTCTTCAGCACCATGGTGAGATGAAGAAGAACCATCCTCCTCCTCAATCCCATGCTGAGAGTTCATATGGAAACTTGTAGGAGAAAGCATGCCATTCTCAAACATCCTGCCTCCTACATGTTTATCTTCCTGACTTGGGCTCATCAGATCCATCTCCTCCTGGTAYTGGTAGTCTTCAGCACCATGGTGAGATGAAGAAGAGCCGTCCTCCCCATCGAGCACATGCTGAGAGGCCACAGAATTACTGCGACTGTCTTCTGGGGTCTCTTCATCTAGGTCCATGCTCTCTGCATTGGTAGTCGGGGAAGAAGGAGATGCTAAATCTTCACGGACATGACCATTAAGGAGATCCTCTTTGTCCTCCTCAGACTCTGGAATTTCATAGATATTGGTGTTAACATTTTGATTAACATTTGTAAAGTTCTTATTTTCCATGATTAGCGGCTGGTGAGTTTTGCCTGCCTTCTGGTACCCTAAAAGACTACAACTAAAGTGGGGTGTTGACAGATAAACTCTGTCTAGGAGGAAGCAGAGTTTGTGGTACACGTTTTCGGTGCACTGCTACACATGACAGATCTCCAACAATCATTTACAGACTTTTAAATCAACAACTATACTTCCGCTGAAATAAGAGATAGGCTGTCTCACTTTTAACCCCTTTCTTGATCAGACTACTGGTAACTTTATCTTCGGTTCTACAATCACTTTTTGTTCTTCCAGCTATATCCTGGCCAATTATAATGAAAAATGGCTGAAACATCTTATCAACACTAGAAAGATGCAGTAATATATATATATAATATATATATTATTTCACAGGAAGTTAAAAGTAATTTTACTGGAAACTTTGAGTACGTTTTGTATATAAAGGTGGGAATATAAACTTCATTATATTTATTTTCACAACACACTTCAAGAAAGGCAAATAACCTGCACCAGGACAAATAACCTGCAGTGTTTCAGTGGTTCCTTACCAAACAATGGTCATTTAAAAAAAATCAGAGTCACAGAATGGTTGAGGTTGGAAGARGCCCCTATAGAGYCTCTAGTCCAACCCTCAGCATAAGCAAGGTCACCAGGAGCACACTGCAGRGGACTGTGGTAAGGAGACTTCTTAACACCTCCAGAGAAGGAGACCCCACAGCCTCTCTGGGCTACCTGTTCCAGTGCTCTGTCACCCTCACAGGAAGTTTTTCCTCATATTCAGACTGAACTGCCTGCGTTTCAGTTTGTGGCAGTTGCCTTTTGCCCTAATGCAGRGCACTAGTGAAAATAGTCAGGTCCCATCCTCTTGACACCCACCCATAAGGTGTTTGTGTTCACTGGTCTTTCTCAGACTGGGCTAAACAGGCCCAGCTCTCTCAGGCTACCATTAGCCCTGTTGGCCCCAAGGGCAAACTAGTGGCTCACGATTAAGTTTTTGTCCACCAGGACTCCCTTCTCTACACGACCACTTCCTAGTTCCTTCTCACTAATGAATGAAGAGAGAGAGGAGAATCTGTAATGAATCTGAAGAAGACAAACACCACGAAGTCTGGAATAAGATGAACTGTCCTCTAAAAAGGCACATGCACTCCAGAGCCTCTGAAATCAAAGGAGATTAAATGCATTGAAGATCTAATTCTGAATTTAGGAAAATTACGACAACTTCAGCTCCTACTGACTAAAGACTTTTACCTATGTTTACTGCAAAAGTTTTATGTAGGTTATTATTGAAATGTTTAAATTTTAACTAGGTTTAATTTCTCATTTTTGAGCCAAAAGAATTTTTTTTTCTTCCTGACTTATCACAGAATCACAGAATGGTTAAGGTTGGAAGGGACCTCTAGAGATCATCCAGTCCAACCTCCCTGCTCAAGCAGGGACACCCAGAGCACGGGGCACAGGGTGACATCCAGGCGGGTTTGGAAGATCTCCAGAGAAGGAGACTCCACAACCTCCCTGGGCAGCCTGTTCCAAGGCTCTGTCACCCTCACAGTGAAGAAGTTCTTCCTCATATCTGATCATGCTGAGGTGAGGGTTCATTTAAAATCCTTATAAACTTTCAAGACTAACTCTCTAAAACAGAACTACAAGGATATATAGCTGAGATGCAATTTCAAGTATTATGACCCACACAATCTTGCCCAGCACAGATGTACATCAGCAAACAGAACCTTTACTCTTCACATTTTGAAGATACAAGGCAGACACAATTCTTTAAATGGAAATACTACATAAGAGATTTTGAAGTGTACAATATATGACCTGACTTACAGATAGCATTCAAAATCAATACCACTGTTTTAGTGGTTTTAGGGRGAAAAATCTGTTATAAAAATCTGACTATTGCCTAACCTGGGATTTTATGGCATTCCCTTTCTGCATAGCTCCCAGTAGAAACCTGGACACCTGAGAACACTCTCCTGGACAAATTCAGTTTCCTACTGAGAATGTGAAATTGCCAGAGAGCAGACAGAGTGAAATTTAAAATAAAGGATTGTGTGAAACTCTGTGATATAAAGAGAGGCAATCCCCTCAGCTGCTCAGCTGCTCTATATCATCTTTGAGAGGTCATGAAGAGCAGAGGAGGTGCTGGAGGACTGGGAGAGAGCCAAAAGCACTGCAGTCTTCAAAAAGGTCAAGAGGGAGGAGCCAGGAAACAACAGGCCAGTCAGCCTCACCTCCGTGCCTGGAAAGGTGATGGAGCAGCTCATCCTAGAGAGTATCTCTAGGCATGTCAAGGAAAAGAAGCTAATGAGGAGTAGTYAGCATAGACTCACCAAAGGCAAGTTGTGTTTGATGAACCTGATAGCCTTCTATGATAGGACGACTGGCTGGCTGGACAATGGGAGAACAATGGATGTTCCCTACCTTGACATCAGCAAGGCTTTTGACACAGTCTCCCATAACATTATCATAGGAAAGCTCCCGAAGGGTGGGTTAGATGTGTGGACATTGAGGTGGATTGAGAACTGGCTGGATGACAGAGCTSAAAGGGTGGTGATAAATAAGGCTGAGTCCAGTTGGAGGCCTGTGGCCAGTGGTGTCCCCCAAGGCCTGTGGCCTGATCCCCACCAGCGATCCCCCCCACTGGGCCCAGTGGTGTTCAACTTGTTCATCAATGACTTGGATGAGGGCACAGGGTGCACCCTGAGCAAGTTTGCAGACGATACCAAGCTGGGTGGAGTGGCTGACACTCTGGAGGGCTGTGCTGCCATCCAGAGGGACCTGGACAGGCTGGAGAGCTGGGCAGAGAGGAACCTCCTGAGGTTCAACAAGAACAAGTGMAGGGTCCTGCACCTGGGGAGGAATAACCCTGGACACCAGCACAGATTAGGGGTCAACCTGCTGGAAAGMAGCTCCACGGAGAGGGACCTGGGAATCCTGGTTGACACCAAGTTAACCATGAGTGAGCAGTGTGCCCTCATGGCCAAGAAGGCCAATGGGATCCTGGCTGCATCAGGAGGAGYGTTGCCAGCAGGTCAAGGGAGGGGATCCTACCCCTCTMCTCAGCTCTGGTGAGGCCRCACCTGGAGTACTGTGTGCAGTTCTGGGCTCCCCAGTATAAGAGGGACGTGGAGCTTCTCGAGAGTGTCCAGCAGAGGGCAACAAAGATGATTAAGGGATTGGAGCATCTCTCCTACAAGGAGAGACTGAGTGAGTTGGGCCTGTTTTCTCTGGAGAAGAGAAGGCTGAGAGGGAATCTGATCAATATGTGTAAGTACCTGAAGGGGGAATGTAAGGAGGAGGGGGCCAAACTCTTCTCATTGGTGGTCAGTGGCAGGACTAGGGGTAATGGGTGTAAATTGCCACACAGGCAGTTCCATCTTCATGTGAGGAGGAACTTCTTCACTGTGAGGGTGACAGAGCCCTGGAACAGGCTACCCAGGGGAGGTTGTGGAGTCTCCTTCTCTGGAGGTCTTCAAAACCCGCCTGGATGTCACCCTGTGTCCCGTGCTCTGGGTGTCCCTGCTTGAGCAGGGAGGTTGGACTGGATGATCTCTAGAGGTCCCTTCCAACCTTAACCATTCTGTGATTCTAGGACTCCAGAGCAAACAACTGCACAGAGCAGCACTGTGGGAGCTTCTGCATAATCGTATAGCAAGTGACAGGCTTTAAGAGGTTTTGCCACTATGAGGCCTGCTGTCGTTCCCGCACATACAGTAGGCTCCCTTCTGCATGGCCAGGAGAGAGAAATATYATGGAAATATGGAGAGCCTCTCTTATGTGAATCTCCCACTCAACCAGAGTCCTCCAACCAACAGTAATCYACCCTCAGCTTCCAAATTTCACATCACAGGTGAAAGAAAGGTAAATGAGAAAGCTGTTTTTTTCTCTCAGAAACGAAAAGAAACTTTATTTTTAATAACAACTTTAAAGATTTTTGAGTTTGAAGCACCTTTTCCACATATAGCTCAGAGCTTAGAAAATGCTGCCTCCCAAAAAAGGGACCTGTCTCAGTCCATAGACCTACAAGTTGCTGTGCTTTTGTTTTTCAGTACACAGTCTACCACCTGTTACTACACGGAAGAGACACTAAGTAAGTGGAAAAACAGAAGAGCTTATTAGAAACTTTCATGGCTTTACATTTTCAGGAAACATTTCTACTTTAAGAATAAGAAAATACTTGCATTTCTTCTTATTTTGTAGAAATACAAATTCATTTAGATGTGTATATGTTCAACTTTGAACACGACCTTGATAAGGAACTGCCACTGACCTTAAAAACTTGCATACATGGCAGGATTCATATTCTGACATCGTAAAAATTCCTTTCCTAGTCACTCTGCTGGCAAATCACTTAAGGAAGAAAATAATACAGACCTACCCATGTCTCCTTCAGAGCAAAACGAAGAGCAAAGTACAGTTTCATAGTGCAYAGCTGCATACAGTTAAATGACTGCTTGGATTTTTTTTCCCCTCCTCAAAGAAAACATTCTCAGGATGCAGCAGCACCTGCTGGAGGGTATAAAATATCACAGGTAACATAAGGTATGAAAGTGTTATATGCATAGTATTATAAAATAATTAAATACAGTCTATGTTGATTTTGTTAGTCAGAAATATGAGTTATACAAGTTCTCCTTTCCTCTGCCCTGCTTCCAAGAGCAAAGAAAATGCCATTCAGCTCAAAGATCCAGACTTCACTCCTATGCCTAGTGATGAAGCCGCAGGGCAAGCTCAGTCACACCTAAAAGTTCATCCAGGTGAAAATCAAAGGGATTTGAAATTAGATGCTATGAACTGCACTGCTGGGTTACAACCCTTGCATGTTCTGTTCACGGGAGACAGAAATAGTTTTAGAGACACAACTCACAAGATACACAATGTCAAATGAGACCAACACTGAGATGCCCACATCGCGACGTGTCACACTAGTCTTGTGGTCTGCTGTGTCCTGTGCTGCTCCCTCTCCAATTCCTGGCCAAAAAAGTCTTGGCAAAAAACTGAGA